CAGGAAAGACAGTGGAATGAATCTGACTTAACTTTCCTGTGTACATATATGTGTACATATATGAATACACCACAGTGAGTCTCACCATCATGTACAACCACAAGTTTAGGATCCTAATTAGAATACCCTAATATAAATATGTCACAATAGACTCTACTATCATGTATAAATAAAAAGAGCAAATAAAAATTTAAAAAAATAAATGGGGTATAATAGCTCTGGGTGCTGTAGAGAAAGAGCTGCAAGAGAATAGAAAAGAGGTTCCCAAAACAACAATTCCATTTCTTCATTATCTTCAAGGAGAAAGGTCTAATAATAAATGCCATTTATTGTCTTACTATAAATAGTAATATGTGATTCATTCATTTAAATGTTAATAAAATTAAGGTAAAAATAATAAGTTGAAATCAGCTTACCAAAAAAAAAGAATTTTTAATGCTTTAAATATGTTATATACTGAAGAAATGAAGATGATTGCTATATCTAAGCAAAATTTGAATGACTTTTAAATTCTAAATTCTGCTCATTGCTATTACCTTCACAACATGGTTGTGCAGTAATTAATATTTTAGCTAATGTTTCTCCAAGCCATTAAGGTAGGCAAAAGAAAGAATATGGCCCATTTAGATAGAGAAGAGACCTATGAATTGTATAATTTAAAATAAAACTCAAAATGGGTGTAGAAGTAACTATTTGAGAAGAAGAAAATGAGGAGAACTTGGCACTAAAAGACCTTAAAAATTTACATGAGATCAAGGCAAATATTCCCCCCCCTTTTACATTCCTCCCATAAATCCATGAAGTGTGAAAAAAGGATTTCAGAGCTTCCAAGGAAGACAAATACAACTGAGAATATATATTATTGTTAACAAAAATGGCCTGCAGATCTAAGAAAATACTTAAAAGTGATTCCTAGCTCTCAGACTCTGAGACTCTGGAAAGATAATAGCCAGTACTGCCACAATGAACATATACTAGGGCAAAATGTTCAGCTTAAAATAAAGGGGGTTAATTATGTACACATTTTAACACTCTATAGAGAATGACCATACATCCCTCTTTGCCAAGGAAAGTTCCAGTTTATACTTGTTGCTCAAGCTTGTGAAAGATTGCATCCATGACTCCAATTCTTCACTCTTACCTCTACCCATGTCCTTTGCTATATATCGTCACTATCTATACTATGTGAAGCATACCTTTCTGATCCTTGATTCTGGACTTGTCCATAAATTTACTCTGGAAAAGTCAAGACTCAATGGCAGGTAGAAATGGATTGAACATTTTAATACTGAAAACTTAGGGTTCATTCAATACTTGAGATTGGATGGAAAAGCTTCAGTTTCTACCTGAGATTTAACTCAAGGCCTGAAAAAGAATATTTGGCAGAACACGGAGGAAAACATCAAGCTAATCCAATACACTAAATGCCTAAAACAGGAAAATATTTTTTCTTTGGTTACCATCAATAACCAGAAAACTATAAAAAAAAGTAATACTGGGGCAACAGGGGAAGTGCCAAATATATCTTTTAAATTAGAAATATATCCTGATAAACTGTCTATTCCATTAGAGGATTGGATATGAAGTTCAAATTTACTGCTTTATTCCCAGTGTCTGTTATAAGGTCTGAACATAGGGCTACTCAATGAGTATATGAGGGACAAATTAGATTTTTGGAAATCATCCTTGAAGGAATGTTTATTCATTTGTGTGTTTGTACCATAAATGATTGTTGAGAAATTGTTATGTACGATGTCTATGGCATGTATGAAGGGCAAAACAGTGAGCAAAATAAAAGCAGAGCTCTTCTACAGCTTATAGTCTATTTCAAAAATCAGTATATATGAGATACAGAAGGTCAGATGATGCTAAGTGCTGTGGAGAATATGTACATCAATGAAACAGGATGGATATGTTGGGATGGGAAGTCCCTGCAATTTTAAATAGATGGCTATAAAAGGTCTCAGTAGAAGAACAAAGGACAGTATCTACATGTGTGAGCCATGTAGATACTGAGAAATGAGTGTGTTATAGTCAAAATAAGGGCAGGTGCAAAGGCCAGGGACAGAAGTGTACTGGGGTACTTCAGACACAGCTTTGTGGCTAGTGTGGTTAGGGCAGAATAAAGGAGGCTATTAGGTGAAGATTTCAGAAAGGTCAAGGGGCTACTTCTTGTTGGGCTGTATAGACCTTAAAAAGAACTCTGGCTTTTATTCTAAGTAAGGTAGAAACACATTGATTTTGCCTGGAAGAGAGTATTGCATTTTGGGAAGAGCAAAGAGAAGAGTTGGAACTACAAAAGGCTTGGTTTCAAATCCTAACATCATCACTTACTGCAGGAATTTGAATCAAATGTTTAATTCACTTTTGGAGTTTCAAGGTTTTCCCCTCTAATACATTACTGATAATATCTTCCCCATGCTAATATTGTATGGGGATTAATTGAAGAAGTAAATGATGCATATAAAAAGGATTGGTTACTCTCCTAGAATATGGCAGTTGCTTATATATTATTTTTCTCCCTGTAAACAACAACAAAAACAAAATAACAATCTTAGGTAGGTATAACTAATGAAGCAAAAAAGGACATTATTTCTCAAAACAAGTAAGACAGGAACTGAAAAAACTACTACAGAAATAGCAATAAGAAATGTGGAATTGAAGTTCTTTTAGATTGTAAAAACACTCCTGTTAACCTAATTAAGATAAATGGACCTTAATTGGCCTAAGTGAAGTTCCCAGTGATAAAATTGTGAGAACACATAGATTTGTGATGAGTGTTTCTCAGAGAATGGAACCTGAGGGCATATTGAGAGAACTGGCAGTATAATAATTGATTCTGAGAGAAATTTTAAATATAGCAAAGCCAAAAAATGGACATTAACATACATGTCATTATTGTATATTTTCACATTATCTGTGGTTGAAATAAGGTATGTTTTAATTAATGCTTGTATCAATTTTGTATCTGTCATTAATGGTTATGTTTAAATATTTTGATAACTTGTAAATGTTTCCATACCAGCAGTATCTTGGCAATGATTTAAATTTTCTCCTAAAATTATTGTCTTATGCAATTGACACCCTAGCTGCCCTACCTGCACTATCCCAGGCAATATTCCAGACTCTAATGTGGAAGTTTTTCTGTTCCCTACTTGACAATTGTCACATATCTCCCTGGTATGTAAAATGAACTGATTATTACAAATAGGACTCTTCAAGTTCAAATGTCCTTGATGTGGCCCAGTTCTTAGTTTTTCCCCTTGCAATAACAGGGTTAATGTTGTGGAAAAATATTTTTTTAAAAATAAAACTGCAGAAGTTGCTGCTACATCAAAAATCAGCTTCGTTACTATTAAAATTATATTTAACAGAGTTGCCATATCCCAGCTTCTATTTTTCAGTTGGCTATACACAGATGTGAATCTAAAGGAGGAAGTGTGTGACTTTCATCTTGTCTTGATTATTTTATGTTGATTACAAATTATATAGATGGAAGGAATGTGAAATAAAGTGTAATGAAGGCCAAGAAAAGAAGGGAATAGCAGTTTAATAGCTGAGAAAACCAATTCTGGGATTAGTAAAACGTGTTCAAATCAAATTTCTCAACTTATTGTGTGATCTTTCTCAATTTATTTAACTTCTTCAACTCTGTTTCCTGATCCTAAAAGGATTAATACTTCTATATTGCTAGAATATTATAAAATTTAAGAAAATATAAAAACTTAGTGTTTTGAATATAGTAAACATTCAAGTATCATATTTCATCAATTATATTACCTTTCTTCATAATAATAATAATCAATCACTCAATTATTAGTAGCTGTAGAGTTGTTATTGTCTTCATTATTAAGACAATAAATAAAACAGACCCAGGTATGCTGGTCCCCAACTGTAATCCCAACTACTCAGGAGGCTGAGGCAGGGGAATGGCAAGTTTGAGGCAAGGCTGGGTAATCTACAGAGAACCTGTCTCAAAATAAAATTTCAAAACTGGCAGCAGATATAGCCCAGTGGTAAATCATTGGCCTAGCATGTTTAGGGTCCTGGACTTGAGCCCCAGTCACACAATAAATAAATAAACAAATAAATAAAATATAATTATAATTATAATTTATTACAATTATAATTTGTGATGGTCAATACTCGCTCTTAACAAATTTCAGTGCAATTTCCCTTTGCTCCATTCCTTCTCTAGAGTCAGCAGTATGCTTATAGATAGGAAAACACTTGAGGAAACATTTTACCTATTGTGCTAGACATAAAACTTGAAGTGGAACTGAGGAAAGCAACAGGGTTGATCAATATCTTCCCTCACAGATGAGTAAGTGAATGACCAAGTCTTATGGAGGAAACCCAATCTCATTTCTCTGATTCTCGCTCATGGTCTATAGGTCATTTGTTGGTGCTTTATATTTGGAAAATCCCGGTGTGAACTTGATCAGGACATAGGTAATTAAGTTGAACGCCTAAGCCTACGTCCCCACAAAAAAAGTCTGAGAAGTAAAAATATTTCTGAGGGTCAAAATCCTTTCTGGAAATGCATATGCTAATTCCCTAGCTTCCCAGCTTGGCGGGGTTCCCTTTAGCAAGTAGGGTGTTTATTACATAAGCAGGTTCTTCTTGGACAGAATCTTGGGGGCATCACAAGATTCTTAAAAGAACTGAGGCATTTTTAGCCTCGATCAGGTGGGCGCAAGGACTCACTTTATTAGAGTGAGTAGGAGAGTGGACAAAATGAAAGAAAGGAGGCCCGGGGATTCTGGATGTAGGAGTAAGTGAGAGCTGGCAGGGCCTCAGAGGAATCCTGCGGACCCTGCATCTTTCTCAGCCTCATCCACTACTGTAACTACTAGTGTAGCCTGTACTGTACTGTAACCTGCCACCTTAACCATTGTTGCTGCCAAGGTAGTGGTAGCTGCCATTGGTCAGGATACGCAAACGCAGAGCAGGAGTTGGTCACCGAGATCCGGCCTGCTGTGTTTAGGCCAGAGGTCCTCATGGCGAGCAAGCGGAATCGTGTAAAGGTCTATGTGCTGAAAGAAGATCAGCAATGGGGCCAGCTGGGCGTGGGACAAATCTCCTCAAGTTACATAGAGTGCCTCCAAAGCGTGTGTCTGCTTGTTCGGTCAGAGTCTGATGGCTCACTGATTTTACAGTCCAAGATACACCCAAACGTGCCCTATCAGAAACAACAGGGTGTGTTAATTGTTTGGTCTGAAGATGAGAACCATGGTGTGGCACTAAGTTTCCAGGATCCAGCAGGCTGTCGAGACATCTGGGAAGACATATGCCAAGTCCAAGGTAAAGACCCAACTGTTGAAATCACACAAGATCTTTTGGAAGGACCAGACCAATTTGATGAAATGCCATCAACCAGTAGTCTGGTTGAGCTGCCAAACTGTGAACTCCATACACTTGAAGAAATAGCTGATCTGTTTACTTCTGTCCTTGCTTCACCTATAGGTAAAGAAAGGTTGGCACTGACCTTGGAAAATGAAGATTATATTAAAAAACTACTGCAAATATTTCACATTTGTGAGAACCTAAAGAACATTGAAGGCTTACATAACTTGCACAAAATTATTAAAGGCATCTTATTCCTCAACAAAACTCCTCTGTTTGAAATCATGTTTTCTGATGAGTGTATCATGGATGTGGTGGGATGCCTTGAATATGACCCTGCCTTGACTCAGCCAAAAAGATATAGGGAATTCTTGACCCAAAATGTAAAGTTCAAGGAAGTTATGCCAATAACAGACTCTAAACTTAGGCAAAAAATACATCAGACCTACAGAGTGCAGTACATTCATGATATTCTTTTTCCTATACCATCCATATTTGAAGAGAATCTTCTCTCTACTCTTACAACTTTTATTTTCTTCAACAAGGTTGAGATAGTCAGCATGCTGCTGGAAGACGATATGTTTTTGTTTGAAGTTCTTGCACAGTTAAGGGATAAGGCTACAGATGAAAATAAACGGCTTGAATTATTATTTTTTTTCAAGGAATTCTGTGGGTTTTCCCAGACACTGCAGCCTCAAAGCAAGGATGCTTTATTCACAACATTGTTACAACTGGGAATTCTTTCTGCTCTTAAAATTTTAATGAGCATGGATGATTTCCAAGTAAAGATAACAGCTACAGATATATTTGCTTATCTGGTAGAGTACAGTCCATCTATGATCCGAATATTTGTAATGGAGGAAGCTCAGGATGGTGAAGATGATGAACTTTTTATTAATGTAGTAATTGAACAAATGATCAGTGATACTGATCCTGAACTTGGAGGTGCCATTAATTTGATGGGACTTCTTCGTTGTCTACTTGATGTGGACAACATGCTGCTAGTACCCAATGAATGTGAAAGAAGTGAATTTCTAAATTTCTTCTACAGACGTTGCATGCATAACTTGATAGCACCAATTTTGTCTACTACTTCAGAAGACAGAGATGAAGAGGATTATTTATTTGGACCTGACGAAAACAAAAATTGTCTCAATAATTACCAAATAGCACAGCTGCTTAGTTTAATTATAGAACTACTCACATTTTGTGTACAACATCACACATATCACATTAAAAACTACATATTGAGCAAAGACTTGCTAAGAAGAGTCTTGATGTTGATGAATTCAAAGCACACGTTCCTGATCTTATCTGCTGTGCGTTTTATGAGAAGGATGATTGGTCTTAAAGATGAACTTTATAATCGTTACATCATCAAGGGAAATCTTTTTGATCCAGTTGTAAATGCATTTCTGATTAATGGAACTCGGTACAATATGCTAAATTCGGCTATTATTGAGCTATTTGAATATATACGAGTGGAAAATATCAAGTCTCTTGTTGCACATATAGTTGAAAAGTTTTACAAGGCTTTTGAATTGATTGAATATGTTCAGACTTTCAAAGGATTGAAGATTAAATATGAACAAGAGAAAGACAGACAAAATCAAATAAGGAAGAATTTACATTCTATACTATATATTAAAAATTTTTGCAGAGATGCCAATGGCATGGAGGAGGTGAAGGCTGATATGTATTTTAAGGAAAATACCACAGATGTACTTATGCCACCAATGGAAAATGACTTTCCAGATCATTATGATACATCTATAGATACTAAAATACCAAAAGAAAATGGAGAAAAGGTAGACCTTCTCAAAAGAACATCTTCCGGTGAATTCAGAATTTCTTCATCTAGCTCTCCTGATTCTGAGGATGAAATCAGTACCCCATCCAGTAGCAGTTTGGTTGGTTTAGTGGATTATCCAGATGATGATAATGAAGAAGAAGATAAGGAAGAAGACAAAGCATCCCCCAGAAAGAGACCTCATCTTGACTTATAAAACAATTATGGGAGACCCTCAACATATGCTTCTACTAAAATTCTATCAATGTCAATAAACTAAAAAGTGGATCCCAAAGACTTTCTCATATGAACTTTTAAATATACAACAAGTAACAAAAATTATGAAGAAAGGAATTAATTCCATAAAAAGAAAACTTCCCATAATATATACATACAATGAAATAGTAATCAGCACCTGATTGATGACTTACTACAACTTGTTTATTTTTCTTTGGTTTAGGGGATAGTTTGGGAGGAGGAAATAGGTTGATGAAATATTGTCAACACAGTTATCACCCAGGAACATATATTAGAAACAACTGTAATAGTTCCATTGCAAAACCTACAATATTATTTGCAGAAAGGTTCTGGCCATGTTTTTCTTTACTCTGGCTGCATTTTTTGAAAGAAGTTTGTTTATATGGTAAACAAAGTCAACTGTAAAAATTCATAGGCTCCTCCTGTGAAGATTTAAAAATAATTCAGCCTTATCAATAATTGGGGGGAAGCAGCTTGCAGTATGTATTTCCATGAATATAAAATAAATCTGGATTCAAAATATGCAGTTATTAGTGTAACCTTTTTAAAGATAAGAAGTACAAAGAAACACCCCAGTAGTATGCCCAAAGTGTTCTCTGTGTGACCTTTGGAGTGAGTAGAAGGTTGGGAAAGTTGTTTTCCAATTAATTAGGTTTGTCTTTTCAGAGCAGCAGATGTTTTAGAGTATAAGTTATAAAGACTAATATAAAAGGTAGTGATAAGTGAATTGACATTTATTATCCAGATGCCACTTTGGACCAAGAAAAAGTTAAGTGTCAAAGTCAGCATACAGGACCTGAAGTTTTTCCATAAACAAAAGTATAATATGAAAAATAATTTATTAAAGTGTGTATAAGTGAATTCCTAAAAAAAATTCCCAACAAAGAGTTAAGAGGACTCATTTTTATTTTTAAATTTATTTATTTATTTATTTATTTTTGCTACCAGGGATTGAACCTAGGAGTGCTTTACCACTGAGCCACTTCCCCAGAATTTTTAATTTATTTTTTTGAGGACCTATTTTTTAGAGGAGCAGGTTAACTGAGTCTATTTTCCCTGGAATCATTTAAAATGAAAAGGAGTTCTTACTGTTTTGTAGATTTTAGTGTTAATATTAATTTGGGCCATTATTTGGACAAAGGTAGGCTGTGCAGATAGGAAGTATAATTTTATATAAAACAAGTATTTATTTTGTAGATTAAAATACCACTGTACTTATTTTGTACCTATTTATATTTATATTGAACTATAAAATTCAGAAATTAAAATATAATGATGTAATTGTAAAAACAAAAGAGACCATTTTAAATTTACTGTTCTGCCAATAGGAGACACAGCTTATGCAAAACTAGAAACTGCAGTGTAAAAGCTAGAAAGGGTCTATACCTAAAATGACAAACAATAATTTCATCAGATTAAAAACTGATTTCATCAGTTTAGACTGTGGACGTGAACTCAGGAGGTAAAATTATACATTGGATAGGATACAACACAGCAGAAAAATTGCATTTTCACACTTCTCAAGCTATGCTAGTTAAATTAAGTGCTATAATGGGATTTTTCATGTATTCATGTTGTGATTGTATGTCAAAAAAGGTGGTTTCTTAGAAAAGCATTTCACGTTTTCCTTCTGGGTAGAGTGTCATGGGGATAGTTATCCATAGTACACATAATACACTTATAGTTTTGTTTAATGTGTGTGTGTGCGTGTATGTGTGTGTGTGTCTGTGTGTGTTTAGTATAATGAAAGCAGACCCACTTCCTTAAAAGAGCAGCTATTTGCAACTGGACGAAGAAGAAACATTCTATTTTGGTGTTATTTCTGTTTATTCTTTTCCTCCCAGCTAGTTTCAATCTGTTATAAAAAATGGACCCTCTAATTAGAAGAGAATAATATAATATTTCTATATCTTGACATATTTTCCTCAGTGAGTTTGAAAGATGAGAAAAGTATATAAGTACAATGGGATTTAAAAGTGAAGAAGAAGGAAGAGGAGGAGGAAGAGGAGGATGGGGGGGCAGGGAGGAAGAGCAGAAAGTGGGGGAGGAGGGTGAGGAAGAAGAAAAATGATAGGAATTCTATTGAACTGTATGACCTCTGTGAGCCCTTTTCTAATTTCAGCTACTTAACATCAGGAGAACAAGCAAGACAAAGAAAATGGTATAAAGAAAAATTGTCTATCATGTGGCCTAACCTACTACTAAGGGAACATTTAAAAGGGCAACAAAACACAAAAGAGCAATCCTTACTGTCTATAAAATGAGTGAAAAAGTGACCAAAGTGTTTAGATTTTTTGATGTTGTGTGGGAAAATATATAGTCAAGAATGTTTGATCCCATCTTTAATATTTTTAGAAGTAATTTACAAAGGACCCTGAAGTAGGTTATTTATTATATGGAAAGAAGAAACAGTTTGAAATGGTCCTGTATATACCATAAAATCCAAGCCAGAATTTTTGGAGAAATACTCTGTACTCATGATGTTCTTGGCTTTAAACACATGATTTCTACCAATTTTTATGTTTTATCGATCTTTTAAACATACCAAAAAGGGAAGGGTGATATAACAGACAAAGCAAAAACTTCATATTCAGATAGTTCTTGATAATAATGCAAGCTCTGACTCTTACTAGTTCTATTTCCATGACATTTTCTGTGACAATTTACTTATTTTTTCCGCTAGCCATAATTTTCCCAGCTTGTCTTAAAAATTAGAAGCTATATGTAAATTACCCAGAACATATTTAGCACTCAAGAAATAACTTTTGAAACTCATTATCAGCAGTAGCAGCAGCAGCAGTATAATCATTCCTAAGAAGATGAGGTATAAAGCCAGCTATACCCACTTATATCACTAGTTATGCTCATAAATTAAAAATCTTATATTCTAGATAAAATTGACAGCAATAAATAAATTAAAAGTTAATGAATTCAGTTCTAGTTGGTGAAGTCTTTGTGTATGCATGGTGCCCTGCTGAGACACAACTGAAATAAAAACATGAAAGTGGGAAACTTAAAACCTCAGAAAACAAATGAAGACACAGGTGGAGTGGTATCTTCACCATTGGCATGTTAACCAAGAAATGAGAGATGATAGGAGTAAAAAGTAAAATTGAAATTAATGAAGTAGGAGGACAGGTGGGAAGGGAAATGAACACTTATAAAAGTGACAAAAGTCACTAACTCTTATTCCATCCATGCATAATCACAGAAGGCAAAGTAGTCAACAAGAATGTATCCCACTGGGCTTGGTGGCACACGCCTATAATCCTAGCAGCTGGGGAGGATGAAGCAAGAGGATCTTGAGTTCAAAGCCAACTAAATAAAAATACAAAAAAGGGCTGGAGATATGGTTCAGTGATTGAGTACTCCTGGGCTCAATCCTTTGTACTCAAAAAAATTATCCCTAGATAATGGATCATATGGCCTTTCCTTGAAGCAACTGAAATAACAGGCAAAGCTGAGGGCCCTGGTATGCATGTTGTTGCTTCAGAGTTAAGCCTTTCTCTTTAGGGTTGCTATAGTTTGGGTCTGAAATACACACCAAAATCCAATATGTTAAAGGCTTGTTGTCAAGTTTGTTGCTATTGGGAAGTAGTGGAAACTTTAAGAGGTGGGGTCTATTTAGAGGTCTTTGGGGACATGCCCTTGAAAGGGATATGGGATCCCAGACCCTCTCCATCTCTTTCATTTTCTACCCATAAGCTGAGAAGTTATTCCCTGACCCCTATGATGTGCTGGCTCAACAGAGGACTAAAAGCAATGGGGTCAACTGATCATGGACTAGAACCTTTGAAACTGTGAGTCAAAATAAACTTTTTAATCTTAATAAGTTGATTGTCTCAGATATTTTTTATAGCCATATGAAGCTAACACAAGAATGTTGGAGAATTTAAGATGCTGAGAGTTAACAACCTTCAAGGTACAAATCACAGTGTTATAAGGAAAGACACATCTTAATCCCTGGCTCCCATCCAAGAAATATCATCCCAAGAGTACAAATGGTACCTTGAAAAGAAAGTCTTTTCAGGATTGGGGTTGTGGCTCAGTGGTGGAGCACTTGCCTGGCACATATGAGGCACTGGGTTCAATTCTAAGCACCACATAAGAATAAATAAATAAAATATTGTGAACATCTACAATTAAAAATATTAAAAAATAGAAAGTCTTTTCAATATATTGAGTCCTGATTTCCCATTCTGCAAGTGGTACCTACCTCAAGTCAATGACACAGGTTGAGAATATTTGAGGTAAACTTTAAGGTTCATAGTTTAGCTCAGATAATTAAATGTAGTCCTTATTTTGAAAAGTGACTAGTCAATACAGTCTGCTTGTTTATCTTTGGCACTAGGGAGCATGGCATTAGTCTACTCCATGGGATAACTGGGATTGGGGCTGTGGATGACAGCAACAGGTATGTGTGTGGGGAGGTGTAGATGTTAGTGCACACACATGAGGAGGAGCTAGGGTTATCCCCATAGACCTCTCAATAAGGTAAAATGAATGTTTGTCAGAACTATCTGGTCAGTCCTGGCAGAACTAGCAGTCAGTTAAATTGAAGGTGCTTGTAACAGTTTAGGATAGCTGCACCAGAATGGATTCCTTGGTGGATGGGGAAGCTTCAGAGGAAGTTCTGATAAGGAAATTCATTAAGGCCCCTCTATCCCCTGTACAAGCCTAAATGAGTTATTGCTCTTCTTCTATCTACATAATACCTGAGTATCCTATTTCAGTAACTATAACTTTGATGTTTACTTTTTTCAATCATATTGTACACTCATCCAAACCTTTTATCTAGAAGGAGTAGATGAAATAGGGATAAGGACATATTTATTGAAAGTAACAAAAATTAAGTTTAAATCTTATAGGTCCCATTCTTGCCACACTGCTACAGACAGGCTGTACCAATCAGGATAGCCTGGGGAAGGCCTGGAAATGATCAGGAAAAAATTCTGAATC